GTATTCTCCATTTCTTTTACCTTAGTGAAATATTTGATTGATTCCCTCCCGTGAACGTAGATCCAGTTGGATCGAACCACGTAAACGATCTGTGTTTGCTTGTGTTCCTTTTTTCGTCTCATTTCTATGTCAGGAAGTACATATCTCATAACAATTAGCGCCGTCTGTGGGAAGATCCATATTTCTTGGCTAGAGATGTCCACGTAAATGTGTTCGCGGCCAGCGACGAAGAAGAGGAGTTCGACATTCACGAACAGAGGAGCAAGTGGATCCTGTCGCAGGCAGCCGAATATCGACAGATTCAGTGAGCAGTGGAAGCTTTGATCGACTGGATTCACACCGCAGGTTGTGCGGTTCGACGAGGCGGAAAAGGAACAGTCCACGAGTGAGGGCCGAAAATTTGCGACAGAGCTGCCAGCATCTGCCAGCAGAGGATTGCAGAGCGGGAGTTCGGTCTTGCGAGCAGCTCGACCAGAGGGAAGAGGAGGAGATCACACAGAGAAGGGCTCGAGGAGTTCCCTGTTCGGGAGTTCCCGAAGCAGGAGGACCTGAGCAGTTTGGCGAGGCTCGACGGCTCTTGAAAGGCAGTTATTCTTGTGCGAGAGGCAGAGGAGGAATTCCTGATTTGTTCCGCTGTACGCAGAGGAGTGCCTGCAGGAAGGAGGCGCGAGCACAAAACAGGAAGTTTTCTCCGGTAAACAGGTGTGATCTTTGCCAGAAGGGATCAGAGCTCTCTGTTCGGTTTGCGAAGACAGTGGAGTTCACGGGGAGAAGGTAAGAAATTTGGTGAGAATTTCTTGGACAACAAGACGTTAAAAGATAAGTTTAGGCTGAAAAGTTTTGGTTGCTATACAATAGTACAACATTTTGGTGATTTCAGCCTAATTTTTAGAAGGGCAGCAGGTAGAATTCATTGGAAGAAATCCTAGCCACGGCAATGAGTTCTGTCAAATTCAACATTGAGAAATTCAACGGGAAGAACGACTTCGACCAATAGAGAGTAAAGATGAGAGCTCTATTGGTTAAGCAGGGTGTTGTAGAAGCCTTGCAAGGGTCAGCAGTATTGCCGGCCGAAATGACCGAGAAGGAGAAGATCGACATACTGGACAAGGCCCACAGTTTGATAATCCTGAGCTTGGGCGACAAATTTCTGAGGGAGGTGTCGAGGGAGACAACGGCTTAAACAATTTGGGCCAAACTCGAGGTACTCTACCTGACAAAGTCTCTGGCTAATAGGCTCTTTCTGAAGCAGCGTCTATACTCCTTCAAAATGCATGAAGACAAATCCGTTTCAGAGCAGATCGACGAGTTCAACAAGATCATCGACGACCTCGAGAACATCGACGTCAAGATGGACGATGAGGACAAGATACTGCTGCTGCTAAACTCTATTCCTAAGAGCTACGAGCATTTCAAGGATGTGATGTTCTATGGAAGGGTGGAGACTATTACTCTGGAGGAGGTTCAATCTCTGATTAAAGCCAAAGAACTTCAGAGGAAGCATGACAGGGACAAGAAAGTCAGCGGAGACAGTCTTATTGTCAGAGGAAGATCAGACAGGAAAGATTCAAGAAATGGTCAGTACAAATCAAGGTCAAGTAAGGATGACGGGAATCAGTCATCAAGCTGATCTTTCAAGTGCTATCATTGTCACAAGGACGGTCATTTCAAGAGGAACTGCCTAGACAGGAAAAATAAGTACTAAGAAGAGCCAAAATAATAAGGAGAATAGGGAGAAAAAGGCGTAGCCTCTGATGACTACGATTCTGCTGAGGCACTGTTGATCACAGAATTTGAATCCAGTAAGGAGTCAGGAGTGGATCCTCGACTCAGGGTGTTCTTTCCACATGTGTCCTCACAAAGACTGGTTCGAGACACTGCAACAGGAAAATGATGGGTCTGTTCTACTGGGAGATTATAAAGCTCACAGGGTTGTTGGAAGTGGATAATCAGGATAAGGATATTTGATGGAGTTGAACGATTACTGAAAAATGTCAGGTACGTACCAGAGCTCAAAAGAAATCTGATTAAATCTGATTTCTTTAGATCTGATTTCTTTAGGTACGCTGGAGTCAAACGGATGCTCGTTCAAGGCAGAGAATGACTGCATCAGAGTAACCAAAGGCCCTCGTGTCGTCATGCAAGAAGTCATGAAAAAGGGGCTGCACTCTCTCATCGGAAGAACCGTGATTAATAAGTTAATGTACTGTTTGGACAGCAAACTCAAGCACGGGCTTAGGGCCCCTCAGGGGTCAGGTGGAGAGAATCTTTACTTCGAAGCTTCTCAATTGAGGGTCAAGGTGGAGAATTGTTATTTTGACCCCCAATTATTGAACTAAGGTAAAAGGGCACTTTTGTAATGTGGTACCGCTCTCCTACCACATCTCACATACCGCTCACCTACCGCTCACCTATCTCCCACCTACCACTCTCTTGCTTCTATAAATAGAGAGGGTGTGAGACTTAGGAGAGCAAGAGAAGAGATCTTAAGCTACCACAAAGGAGGAGAGAATAGCTAGAGAGCTAGAGAAGATGAGAGCACCTTGAGGTCTTATATCAAGGTGTCGCCTGAGAGGGAGACCATAGAAGGAAGATGAGGGCTCATCTTTATGTATAAGCTATGTAAGATGTATTCTCCATTTCTTTTGCCTTAGTAAACTATTTGATTGATTCCCTCCCGTGGACGTAGATCCAGTTGGATTGAACCACGTAAACGATCTGTGTTTGCTTGTATTATTTGCGTCTCATTTCTATGCCAGGAAGTACATATCTCACAATAATACTAACATCCACCATCACAAACTCTTCCAATTCACCCTCTTCCCCCATCACACCTTACATAATCGTCCCACCGAACCCCATTTACTCCTCAACCACTATCTCCCAATCCACTGAACTAAACCCCTCCATAGAACCACCATCTCCTTTAACCTAACCCCTTCCCGGCCATCACATGCAAACACGTTACAAAACCGACCACCTAGATCCTCGTCAGTTCTTTACCTCACTCAACAGCTCCCCACTAAATCCACTTGCTATTCCTCAGCTGCCAAACACCAAAACTGGTGCCAAGCAACGTCGCCGAATTTCAAGCTCTACAATTGTTAGGTACCTGGACACTTGTACCACCTTGACCCAATCATAACATCCTAGGCTGCCAATGGACATATGACATCGAATACAATGCTACTGATTCTATTGCTCACTACAAAACTCACCTTGTGGCCCAAGGCTTTAAAGAATAATATGACCCAGACTACATTGAAACCTTTCAGCCCCGTTGCAAAACTTCCTGCTATGCATGTTCTGCTCACTATTGCTCTTGACCCACCAATGGCCCATTCTCCAGCTTGACGTCTACAATGCCTTCTTACATGGCCACCTCCACTAAACTGTATATATATGGCTCTACCATCAGGATTCACAGACAACGACCATCCTCATCACGTATGCCTTCTCATTAAAGCCATATATGAGCTTAAAAAAGCTCCTTGACAGTGGTTTGCCACACTATCCAAACACCTTCAATCAATCAAATTTCTGCCTAGCTCAACCGTTACTTCTTTATTTTGCCTTCATTATTCTAATATAGACATGTACATCCTCATGTATGTGGATGACATCCTTATTACCAACACCCACTCAACTATCATCCAATCCACAATCAACAACCTAAAAAGCCAATTTCACATGAAAAGTTTGGGACCTCCGTCTCAATTCCTCGGCAGCACAGCCAAAACCACCTTCTATGGTCTTCATCTCACTCAACCCTCCTATGTTGAACACATACTCAGCACAGCTGGCATGCTTACCCCAAAAACTGTCACCAACACATGTCTATCCAAACCCAGTTCACAACCATCAGATCTCCACTTCATTGCTGACCCATCCCTGTACCGTCAACTCGTAGGATCCCTACAATACCTCACCATTACCCGTCCGAACATCTCCTTTGCTGTGAACTTAGCATCCCAATCAATGCAGCAACCCCCACCAAATTTCATTTTCAGCAACTCAAAAGGCTGTTTCACTATATCAAAGGAACGACGGCGCCTATGCTGATGCTGATTGAGTAGTAGACCCGTCTGACCGTAAGCCGACCTCTGGTTGCTGCACATTCCTCGACAACACTCCCATCTCCTGGTCTGCCAAGAAGCAACCCACTGTTGCTCGATCTTCCACTGAGACAGAATACCGAGCTTTAGCTTCAGCGGCTGCAGATGCATTTGGCTACATCATTGCTCAGTAGCCACAACCCACTCCCCTCCTCTCTGATAACACATCCGCCATAGCTCTCCCCAACAATCTAATCTTTCATTCTTGAACTAAGCATATCGATGTCGATTGCCACATCGCTAGTGATTACATCAAGCAACATCATCTTACTGTGCATGACATAACATCTCCAGGATCAAGTGACAGATCTCTTCACCAAAACTATCTCAAATGCTAGGTTTTAACTTCTCAGATCCAAGCTGATTATCCTACCTGAATCGATCAACTTGCTGGGGGATCTTAATACCACTGCTCCTGCAAACCACCAAGCAGTACTATGCCACTACTCCTCTGTACCAGAACAATCTCCACCACATATTAGTAACAAACTTAATCTTTTCCATACATCTCATAACTACCTCAACAACTCTGTGTTATATATACAAATACCTTTGTACTGAAAACCTGACTTGCTTAGTAAATTCATACCTTAATGAGTTAGCATTTATTCTCTTTTCTTTTCTTTCTCTGTTTTTCTACAGTTTATTCTCCTTTTTATGAACCTTGAGACATGGAAAGTCACTTCAATTTCTGCTTGTGATAAATGAACTTGTATCACAAACATATCCTTCCAGTAGTTGAGAAAGAACAAGAAACCTATCTCAAAGCATTTATATATATTACTCATCTTTATCAGTATTATTTATTATTTTCATTGAATTTGTTTAGTTTTCTTATTTAATTTTCGATGATTAATTTGTTGGTTGATTGTGACAAATGCACAGGTCTGTTGCAATTCATCTTGGGGAAGCATTCATGAATATCGTTCCTTCCATTACACGGCGAGGGCTTTTTTTAAGTCCAGCCATATGGCTCTACGTGAATTCTTCAAGGTACTTTTCAGGTCGGCACTGTTAATCACTGTGCTTTTGTCAAGTGTGAGAAAAATCTTAGTTTAGAGACTGGTTGATTGATAAATTATGGATGGGGTTCTTTTTCAGCAATGTTTGTTTTGAAATCGATGTTTTGCTGAGATTTTAATATTACTTTGAGTGGGGTTAAACATTTTCTTACTGCAGTTTTCAGGTTTCTTCTTGTCAAATCACGTTAGAGTTTTCAGCCAAGTTTTACTTTAAACTTTAAAATGATGTAAACTGAGTACTCTGTTGGTTGCTTGAAGATATAAAACATGTTTTAGAAAATAATGGTTTGTTTTCAATCATTTTAATTGTGAACATGAAATCTTCACTCTACTTAATTGAAATCCAATTTGATTTTTAAGCATATCCAAAGAATTGCTGGGATTATTATAGTAAATTCATCATGTCTTAAAACGTGTTTCTTACTTGAAGCAACCAAATGGGCATTTTAGCTCATTTAGATTGTTTGTGAAAGCCTTTTAGGAGGGATATCTTGGTAAAGTAGTTTTTTTGTTCATCACAAGTGAAGGACCATGGTAACATAAAAAAGATACACATGAAGAAAAACTGTGGAAGGATAGCTCATAAATGTTAAATGGATTAGTCATAGCACGAGTTGCTCATAACCTGGAAGAAAGCACTATGACTTTTATGTTTTTGTCATCTTATAGCCTATCCATTAAGGTAAAGATAAAAAAGTTTTTTGATTCATCCTTCTATTCATGGATGAATGAATTAGTTTCTACAATTTTTAAGGACTTGAAGGCTCTTGGCTTAAAGCTCAATATGCATGAACAATTTGTTTTTGATCTAGAAGCTTATACCTTAACACAAAGGTGTCAAAGGTTGTGCTTTATGAACTAAAGAATAATGAATCCATGACATTCCCAATCTCTATTTGATGTATTTCTATTATATTCTGTCAAAGTTTTGATAAAAAGTTGAATTCTGAATATGCTCGATGCATTTTACGTTTGCTTTCATTCCATTAAATAATAATTTTATAATCTATTTTAGGTACAAAATATTATGTATAATCTAATAATCTATTTTAGGTAACTTAATCATATTTCTAATCTAAATATTCAACTAAAATAGAAATAAATCAGAATAAAGATATTGAAAATAATTTAAATAAGGAAGCTCTTAATTATAGAAAACTCCTAATTTAGCTGTCTGATTTCCGTCCTTCCTGATTTACACCCTTCTTCAAATTGATGCTGACTGATCAGGAAACATCAATTTGCCAACAAGAAACTGATAACACTATCAGGACCAACAATCCTCAAGCTGTGAGCGCCGAAGCCGAAAGTGTCGAAACCGAGAATGCTGAAGCCTCAAAGAGAACTCCTGAAACATAACATGATTTGAGCAAAGAAAATCAAGAAATATTTTATCACTGTCGTCCAGAAATTTGAATCATAGCCACAAGAAGGATCCGCTTCCAGTTACATGATCCAAATGCTACCGATCATAGCCTACAAATAGGATCCAGTTACACGATCCAAATGCTATCAATCATAGCCTAAAATTAGAATCTGTGTCCTGATTAAAATGTTACCGATCATAGCCCACAAATAAGATCCAGTTACACGATCCAAATGCTATCGATCATAGCCTACAAGTAGGATTGGCGTTCTGATCCAAATGCTACCGATCATAGCCCATAAGGATTCAGTTACACAATCCAAATGCTATCGATCATCGCCTACAAGTAGGATCCACATCCTAATTCAAATGTTGCCGATCATAACCCACAAGTAGGATCCGCATCCTGTTATACGATTCAAATGCTATTGAATCTTCCCACGATGACAAGGACGATTTGTTTTTTGTTTTCTGCTTTCCACGCCAAAAGTGCTGAAGTCGAGATGCCGAAGCCGTGAGTCTAGGAAGGAGTGTCGAAGCCTTCAATTCTTGAGTGCGACGAAGAAGCCGAAGTTGAAACGGACGAAGCCTTCGATCCTTCGCCTCCCTGTCGTCGATTGTAACTCCCAAAATGAAGGCCATGCTCCACTGCTTTCCTCACTTCCGAGCCACAAGTAAGACTGAACCAGGCCCACCTCCCTGTGCTGCGATGACCAGACTGCTACATACGAAGACCACTGCGTTGCTCCCGAGTCATAGGAAACCAAAACAACATTGAAAAATTTTCTATTGCCACTCTCAATGTTCCACCTTACATCCCAATACTTCTAACTTATCCTTATATAATATAAGTACTTATGGTACTTGATAGGCATACATGGTAACGTAATTATCAATGAACTTTTTCTCAGGAACTATTAAAAATGTTCTGAAATCCATATTCTTCTTCGTCAATCCCTTCGATGCTAACATACAAAAGATCTTATGTCTCGGGGCAACTCTCCTCTCAAAGTGGAAAGAAAGTAAAACCGGTTGTTCATCCACAGAAGAAGGATCAAATTTCAATTTTTCACAAAACAAGCTATAGTTTGCTTGATCTTCTCCTCCGAATAAGACATGTAGTAAGGATACTTCTTGAATGCGCTTAAAGTGTCTTTCTGAGACCATCCGAAGCTGCCTTAAAAATCCAATTTTTTTGGCCCATGAGGATTTGGAAAGTACAGAGAGAGCATTGATTTTGAGAGTGAACAAAGGCTTAGATGCATCAAAGCCGTATGTCTTCAGCAAATCAACTGATTCGTTGAAGTGGGCGGGACTCTTCCGGCCTGAAGTGCTGCTTTCCGTTCTTAAGCTAGGGGTTTTTTCAGATGGGCGAATCAAAACAAAGATAGAGTTTCTCCATTCCCACAAGAAGGCCAGCTGAAAGGGAGTCTCGATGGTTCTTTAACGACTATCGGTGGTTAGGGCTATCGGTGGTTAGGGCAAAAAATCGGTGGTTAGGGCAAAAATTTGGCTCTGATAACATGTCAAAGTTTTGAGAAAAATAGGTAGAATTCTGAATAGGCTTGATGCCTTTTCCCTTTGCTTTCATTCGATTAAATAATAATTTTACAATCTATTTTAGGTATAGAATATTATGTATAATCTATTTTAGATAACTTAATAATATATATTCCTAATCTAAACATTCAGGTAAAAGGGAAATAAATCAAAATAAAGATATTGGAAATAATTTAAATAAGAAGCTCCTAATTAAGAAAACTCTTAATTTTGCTGCCTGATTTCCGTCCTTCCTGATTTACATACTCTTGATTGAATGACCCTTAACCTATAGTTTCAGTGTTCAGTTTGTCCTTAATTTTATCTACCTTATCCGTTTTTCACCCATGAGTATTCTGTTGTTTACTTTTTTATTTTGTTTGATTTTTGCACTTCTATTTGAATGTGTAGTTTTTTGTGCAGTGAAATTATTTTCTTTTCATGGACAATTTAGACCTTTGTATGTTCTCCATATATTTTGTAGTTTAATTTTTTACTAAGTATGAAATGCTAACTTAATTGATACTTGAGCTTAAATTTCTTTCACAATCTGTTCAGTGTGATTTTGCATGAGATTGGGTGTACTTGTTTGTACAAGTGCAACCCACTCCATTTTTACTACACAAGGTAGCATAGCCACAACATACAACAACAACAACAGCAATAAAGCCTTAATCCCACTACGTAGGGTCGGCTACATGAATCCTTTTTCTCTATTGCGTCCTATTTAGTGTCATATTTTCATTTAGTTCTAATAAAGTAAGATCATTTGTTAATACAATAAGCCCAAGTCTTCCTAGGTCTACCTCTACCTTTCTTAACATAAATCGAATCTAAAACATCTACTCTCCTAATCGGATCATCAGATGGTCGACGCTTAATGTGACCAAACCGTCTAAGACGACTTTCTCTAATTTAGTCCGTCACAGGAGCTACACCCAACCCTATCACGGATATAATCATTTCGCATTTTGTCTCTAAGTGTAAAGCTACTCATCCACCTAATTATTCTCATCTTGGCAACACATAACTTAGTATTATGCTTCTCTATTAAAGGCCAACATTCAGCGCCATAGGGCATTGCAGGTCTCACCACCGTCTCATAAAATTTTCCCTTCAGTCTAAGCGATACTTTTCTATCACACAAAAGGCCCGAAGCATTCCTCCACTTTAACCAACCAACTTGAATTCTTCTATTAACATCCCCATCTAAATCACCATTGTTTTGAATAATAGACCCGAGATATCTAACTCGTTCACATTTTTTAATAATTTGATCACCCAAAGTTACACTTTTGTCACCAATAATCACCTGAAAAAAGCCTTATCATTGTAGATTAACTGTATTGCTAGTCATTTCTTGTGTAGTAAATATATGTTTTTTTTTTGAGCTTTAAGTTATATTATATTTACTTTAATCATAGCGCAGGCAAGTGAATTTGGCTAACAAGTTTAATCATTAGATGTTTCTAATTGTATTTGTTCTAAATTATTAGTTACTGTTTCCAGCTATTGCTTTGGGGGACAGCACTGTCACCATTGAGGAAGTGACACCTCGTGTTTTTCCGTCTGGTCCTCTCTTTCCTTCTGAGGTCTGAACTTTTTCTTAAATTATTTGCTTTCCCATGTTAATTTTCTGGCTGATGGGACCTTTTTTAATGTCTTTGCTAATATATCCATATGTGCAACCTGGTTTCTTGTTTAAGTATAGGGACGCACAGTAGAACTTTTTGAAAAGAATACGTACTCTGTTGTTAACATTTTTGACGTTACCTTGCGACCTCAGCTTAATGTGACTGGTGTCGTTGAGGTATGAATAATGCATTTTTATTTGTCTGTTGTGTGCCTTTAATTTTTGAATTATTTTGTATGTGGTTTTTGTTTCCGTCCAGCAGATTTAATATAATGAGAGGATCATCTTCTTCATTATCATCATATCATCATTGTCATATTAACTTTCAGTTTATGCTGGGTGTCTCAAATTAATGAATAGTTTCTCCTTGCGCACAAATAATTCTAGGTGCCCGAAGGAAATGGTTCTGGTGTAGTATGGGATGATGTTGGACATGTAGTGACAAATTATCATGGTAAGAGCCGCCAAATTAGTTTCTTGGATCTCCAATTTGCAAAGTAATTACTCAGTTTGCTAGCATCTAGGTAATTAATTGTTTATGCTTTTAGTATATGGTTGAGAAAATGTCTTCTATTGCTAATTCCATTTTAAAGTTAACACATTTTTATGAGATATATTTGACTATTTGTTTATTCTTGCTGGTCTTTTTAGTGGTTGGCAATGCTTTATCAAGGAATCCACTTCCATATCAGGTTGTTGCGCGCGTTAATATTCTTACTTCTGAAGGGTGAGTTTCCTTGCTTGAAATTTATAATTCAAAACAAGTTTTTACAACCGCTAAGCATGCATTTGTGGATATTTTTTTTATATTTACGTTATGCTGTGTTGCCGGTAACTTAAAAAGGATACAAAAGAATTTTGAGGGAAAGCTCGTTGGTTCAGATCGTGCCAAGGATCTTGCTGTGTTAAAGGTGTGTTTTTTCTCAACATTTGTTTCATTCTATATGTTCGATAAATCTTAGTTCAGC